AAAGGACAGTGACTTCCAATGGGAAAGAGAAGGGCTTCAATCTCCCTCAGGAAACAGTCGTGGCAAAAAGTAAGGCTGGTGGTCTCCAGATGCATCACTCCAGGAGTTCACTGTTACTGATAAAACTTAGAACCTCCTACGGCCATGGTTGAGAGTAAACTGATTTTCTGAGATAAACGAGATTTGAAAGAGGGTGGGAATCACATTTTGATTGAGTTCCTACTTTAAGTACTAGATCAAAGCAGCTTGGGGTAACATATACTTTGAGTCTACCTGACTCAAAGCTCAGGTTCTGAGTATTTCACTCTGAAGTCTGAGAAGTCAGGGGCTGCATACAGAGGGTGCTCACTCCTTCTCAGCACCTCTTTTGCTAGGCTTATGGAGCCAGTGCTTTTCTCATTCCACTTTTTCTGCTCTGTGCACCCAGCACAGAGTTCTGGCCTCTGAAGATGGGACAAGACCTTATACATATTACACTTCTATCTAAGAATCTGTAAATAGGTGAGCTGCCCTTGATATGTACATCACCTATTTCAAGGGGCCAATGGGACTTTCATGTGCATCCTTGATTCAGTTGCCCAGAGGCACATGTTTCAACTTGAGCATTGCCCCGAGAGATGGCAGAAGGGCAAGCCCACGTTTCCCTTACCTGCAATCCCTGCCACTGCCTGCAGTGAGGTGTGGCCTCTGGAGTGATGCATCTAGAGAGCACCAGCCTTACTTTTTGCCATGACTATCTTTCCTGAAGGAGACCGAAGCCCTTCTCTTTCCCGTTTGAAGTCAGTGTCTTTTCAGAGGGGCTACTGTGGGTGGGAATCACATTTTGATTGAGTTCCTACTTTAAGTCAGGCATTGTACCAACGACTTATCATAGTTTTCCTTACTCTATTTCAGAGTGATTCTAATTAGTATCTGATATTTTATAAATTGGAGAAGGAGAGACCTACTGGATACTGATTTAAATATGCAGTTCCTAAAAGAATGTGATGTTGTTGTGGGCAAACAGAAACCTCACTCCCACCTTCTCAGAGGAGAAACTTGTCTATTCTTTAGCCCTTGATAATAATACTTGAAAGGGGAAAGATTCTTAAACTTTTCTCTGAATTATGGCCCTGCCACTCCAGCTGGGTTTTTCTCTCAAAGGGAGACAGTAATGAAGGGCCCAGAGGATCTGGCCATGTTGTCATGGTATCACTGAGCTGTAAGATGCCATTTGTTTTCTGATTCTACAATCACCTATTCAAGAGTACACTAGCTATTCTTTGTACAGGAGCCAGACAATGTGAGCTGTACATAAGAATTATTTTTGCAGTGTCAAAAGCCATTCTAGGTGGAATCCAAATGACCACTTGCCTTAGGCAGACACCCCCTCAGCTTCACTGCAGGTCCAGAGTCAGCCCAGGCCACAGTGAGAACCACCAGGAGTGGAAGCAACACTGTCTAGAACCTGCACATTGTCTAGAAGTGGAGGCCATTTTCCCCTCCTCCTCCAACAACTTCAATGTAGAACAATCCCAGGAAGGAGTAGCTGGTGTGTTTCTGGCAAGGGCATATACTGTTGAATGAATAATCACCTGTTCACAGACCAACAAAATGCTTCACTCCTCACTGTCTGAACTCCTAGGATTGGCTGTAAGTCCTGCTATGAGAAGAAACATTTCTGAAGTACCTCTCTGGGATCATTCCCACATGGTGAATCATAAAGGGAGCTAGGAGAGGGGCCCCATACTTTTCCTGTGTGTGCATTGTGATGCTCAGATATTACATCTAACCACTACTGCATATGTCATAGGCTGGGAAATGCCAGTGACTTTAGGGTGAAATGGTGAGTCCTTGGGAAATGAGTCTGATGACATCTGCCTTAGTCTTCATTCCTTGGATTGCTTTATTAGTTTTCCAGGGCTTCCAAAACAAAGTTCCACAAACTGGGCGTCTTAAAACAGAAATGTATTCTCTTCCAGTTCTAGAGGTGAGACATCTGAAATCAGGGTGTCAGCAGGGCCATGCTCCCTCTGAAGGCTCCAGGGAAGGATCCTTCCTTGCCTCTTCCTAGCTTCTGGTGATTTCTTGGGGTGTTCCCCTGGCTTGTAGACACATCACTGCAATCTCTGCCTCTGTTGTTACATGGTCTTCTTCTCTGTGTGTCTCTTTATCTCTGTGTCTCCTCTCCTCTCATAAGGACATCAGTCATGTTGTATTTAAGACATACCCCCAATTCAGTATCATCTTATCTTAATGAGAGGTGACAGTGTCCTGGCAACCCTCACTAGCTCTCGGCGCTTCCTCGGCCTGGCGCCCACTCTGGCAACGCCTGAAGAACCCTTCAGCCCGCTGCTGCACTGTGGGAGCCCCTCTCTGGGCTGGCTGAGGCCGGAGCCGGCTCCCTCTGCTTGCAGGGAGGAGTGGAGGGAGAGGTGCCAGCGGGAACCTGGGCTGCACGCGGCGCTTGCGGGTCAGCTCGAACTCTGGGTGGGT